TATTTTTTATTAGCTTCTTGGTTTATCAAAATTATTCCATTATTTGAGGATTGCAACTGATGGTTAGTACCTCAAATCTCAATTAAAAAAAAAAAATGATGCATATGGGGATCCTAAATTATTTATTTAGGACCACACGTTTAAAAATGCCTTTTTTTTTAATGCTTTTCATTGAGTGTTTAGGGGTAATAAAAATATGTTTAAGTTAGTTAAAATTATTGCATATCTTAAAAATGCTTTGTTTTATGTATGTGAAGTTTTTTAGTTCGATTTTTAACAGTATGACAAGCTACAGTCAAAACATTTCTGTGCCCGGGGGCCCTGCTTGCCACTAAGACGGCCCTGCAACGGTTCATGAAAATTTCATTTGTCAGAAATATTGAAAGGGGAGTTTAAAGATTTCTAGTTATTGAGAAGGACATACATTCCCACCCAACCACGCCCATGGACATAATAAAGCTTTCCGTGAAAGAAATCTTGGATATTGTTTTTATTTCTTTTTCACTATAATTACTGAACTAGTAGGCAATAAGATGTTTGTGTATTATGCAGCAATGTTGTGAAATTCGAGAAATTTTAATACCTATCTGTAAACCTATCTAAGCAATATTTTGATGTAAAAATGTCACCTTTAGAAAAACCGTGGGTACGTGGGTTATTACTTTATTGAGCCAAGCTCTTCAGTTATTGATAGAACTAAACTAAATTGCATTTAATGTGTTTCATTATCTTATATTTCATTTAATGTGCTTAGTAATGACTAAAAAAAACATTTTTTTTAAACATTTCAGCCATCTGCTCAATGGTATCTTTTTTGAGTTGGATTCTTTTATACCTACAAAAATTTCGAAAGAACGTAATGACCAGAGAAGAATTGGATCAACACTGGGTCTCTGAATACAGGGCTTGTGTTGGGTACAGCTTCTATCTTGTGGTTGTCTCCATGTTCCTGTTCTTGCTGAATGTTGCTCTTATATCTACCATCATAAAACAACCCTGGGTGGACAGAAAACTGCGATCGGAACTGAGAAAAAAGTTATCATCCGGTAAATACGTGGCACATTCACCGGCGTCCAGTTTGGCGAAGAAATCGAAAGATATCATAGCAGTTTGAACTAATTGCCCTCATTATGAATAATTTCAAAACAAGATACTATAGAAATGTCGCCAAATTAGAGGTTATTTTAAAGGAAACTTTTGTGAGTCTATGAAATATTCAGTAGCGAAACTCTTAATTGAACGTCAGTCTGATTGATCAGAATAAGAGAATGGAAAGTAGAATAAATTACATCATGAACTATGAGATGAATGAATATGATTTGTTCTAAATGTAAATATTTGCGTTCGTTTTCTTTAAAAGACAAGAAAAATGATTTTACTCATTTTAAATGAATAACTAGGATAAATGACTAGTTTAAATGAACGCAACAACTAGGACTGGGTTCTATCCCTGATGGCAATTTGAAGTCTACCCACTTTAAGATCTTCGGATACCAGCTTGTCTGAGAAATAAAGACAGCTGGCTCTTAATGCAGACCACCATCATGCAGTTGGTCATGAAATTATGGAGCCTTGTCTTCCATGATCCTCTTGGTTGTTGTGAGGGTACTTAACTTTAAATAAGGAAATTTTTTTAATAAGGATGAAAAGTAAAGCCAAAGTCAATACAGATGGTTTCATGACAAACTGTCAGCTTCCAATAAAAAGTTTAACAAATTACTTCAATAAAAAAAACTCTATTCATCGAGTAGTTTATAAACTCCTTTATGAAGGAGAATCCTATATATGTCCTTAATGCACAAAGGAATGCAATATAAAAAATTTAATATGTTTCAATATTTTCCTTTTTATATTAAAAACTATTTTCTAATTCAATATCAGTAAATAAGTAGCAGGGACTGATTTACAGATCTCAGCCACTAGAGGGCACTCTACTTAGTTGTCAAGTTTCAGTTAACATGCATGCATCTCTATCACAATATCAAAAGATAATTTTTTAAACAATGGCAAATTCTAAACAACCTAAATCCTTTAGAAGTACAGAAATTTATAATTTAATTTAGTAATTATTTGATAGAGTAGGAGTTATTAGTAAAATTGATCAGTTAGATTGATTAATAATTATTAGGAAACAAGATATTTGTATTGAGTACCTAGCAAAGCATCTGTAGCATTCTAATAAGTCATTTGTGTGGTTTATTTACCTCAAAAAGCACTAAATTATTAAGTTTATTTCAGGTAATAATTTTATGAAATGTTAACTCGCATTAAACATATTTCACAGTTTAAAATACTGGCATGAACTCTAACTGCTAAATTTAATACTTAATAGCATAATCATAAATCGGCTAAATATTTAAAAAAATTGTTTTGCCAGAAAAATGCAATGTTAGTTGCATTACTTTTCACTATGTATGATAAAAATATATATGCCTGTGTGTATGACACTTTTACAACTTTAAGACAACTCTAAATATCTTATACCAAGTCTTTTGAAAAAATAGATTTTTACAATATTTTTATTAAAAAACAGTTTTGGGGCCCTTGCAAATCAAAGGCCAATCTAGTAAAAATAATAATATAAATTTCTTTAACGAGTAATTTTGCGTAGGGTCACCTACTCCAAATACTTTCTGTAAATTAGTCTTAATAAGTTATATACATTTTACAATTTTTACATTTACTATCTGATTATGAAAGTTTAAGTGGCAATTAAACTACTTAGAGCGTTAAGGGATAGAATATACAAATTATATTATTAAATAGTTTAGATAATTCTCTGCTACGAGTTTATATCGTGTTGGTTTATTTTCTTTAGAAATGGGTTTTGTGCAATGAGCAAAAGAAATGTGTTATCGGTATTAGAATCATGTCTTGGTAACAAGGGAATTAAGTGTTCATCAACCTGTGATCCTGATCTTATGTATTGAATCCTTCTATTTCCGACTGGCCATTATGTTTTGTAAATGATGAGGTTATGTAAGGGTATTTTGATTGTAGAATAAATTTGTCTTTTGTCCTCGATTGTATATTTCACTTTATCTCATCCATCATTCCAATATTTTACTAAATTAACTCAATTTGATTTAAAAAAATTAACTCCAATTACTTTATAGCTTAATGTGATTAAATTAACTTTGACTTCCATTGGCACTGTCATAGCTGCCAACATGAATAAGAAAAAATAAAAAGGAGATTTTGCAAAATAATATAAATTTCATGTTAATTGTTTCATAATGCACAAGGTAAATATTTTATGCATAGGGAATTTTAGAGTCATCAAAATAGAAAGACTGCAAACTTTTCCTGTTATGATTGACAATAAATGAACTTGAAATGTTATGCATTATGTTTACTCTTAATTTTAAATAGTAATCAGTATTTAATTCATCTAAGAAAGGGGTGCACAACCTGCGGCCCGCGGGCCAAATGCGGCCCTTCGACTACTGAAGTGCGGCCCGCGAAAGCTTCTAAACACAATAAAAAAAATTTAAAAAATGGCAATTTTTAATCATCCCTTTTAAGTCATCACGTTTTGACACAATCAATTTTAACAGATTCTTTAGTAAATGTACGTTTAACGCGCTTCATTTAAGCCGATTTTATAGTAAATATAAATTATTTTTTTTAAACAGTTATTTCCGCTTTCCTACGTGATTTCGAAAATCCCGAATTTTTATTACGACGCGAGTTTTAGATCGCAAATTTAAATAATCACTTTTCGTGTACTTTATTTGTGACGATTTCATCTTAAATATAAGTGATTTTTTATCGTTTTTTTTTTTTTTTTTTTTTTTTTTTTTTTTTTTTTTTTTTTTTTTTTTNAAAAAAAAGTAAGTTGAAACCGGTGCTTCGGCTAAATTGATCATATCGAATAAGACTACAATATGACTACAAGAAAGTCTGTTTTGCAAAAATAAATTTTAAATAATGAAATAATTGAATTTTTTACTTTATGAGTCTTGGAGTCAATAGGTCAACAAATAAGTTCAATAAAAACATTCTAATTTCTGAAATTTAAATTCACAAGGATCCAGATACTTACAATTATTATTATTTGATCTTAAATTTTTGAAAAACATTCAATTTTCATAATTCTGATAAAGTATGTTGTAAGGCAATATAATCACAACTCTAACAATCTTAATATATTCATTATCAAATTTTAACTCTAAAAGTTTTTGCTTGGTTTTGGTAACCATTAAAATTTCATCGGTTGTTAAGGTTCAATAAAGTTGAAATCAGCTTTATTTCCTCCTGAGCTAATAGAGACAAGTAAATCAGATTGCACATATATCAGCCAATATCCAACACAGATAACCAAAGGAAAGTGCAAAATTTTGTTTTCTAGGCCATGTCTAATACTATGTTAGATTCTATATAAATCTTAGTTTTTAACTATATTTCAGAAGAATAGATAAGACTTATTTGTGGAAACACACTAGCAACTTACTGTTACCATAAATTTCAAGATTCAGGGTGAGTGGCAAGTTTTTTTTAAATCAAATATTAATTTTATAATATAACATTACAATTCAATGATTTTCTAGCTAAATTCAAAGATCCCATAACAACTCTAATTATAATCATTACAAAATGAAGAATAATTTCTCAAAAATGACCTACGGTGAATAAATATATTAAATAACCAATATATGGTACAGAGAATTTTATGTACTTTTTTAAACGTTCAAGGTGTAAATTTGTACACAAAATAAAAGTAGAAAATTAATGTTGCCTTACCAACAAAGCCTACACTTTAGTAATAGCACTATTTTATGTTATGATAGTCTAACATTAAAAAAGATACCCAAATCTGCCAACCTCAGAAATTCAAAAAGCCCCCGAGACTATGACATAGCAAAACAATAACGTAGCACACTCAGCCTACAAAATTGCTATCGGGAGAATAGTTCTGGAGGCTGCATGCAACGTGTACAAAGGTAAGCTGATTCATACAGTTATAACAGGATTACCGTTTAATTTCAGAAAGAAAAAAATTTCCCAGACTTTTCCAGGTATATTAGGAAAGTTTCAGTGAAAATCCAGACCATATTTGATCTAAACCTTGCAATTTTTCATCAGCAATGATTTTTCTTCTTCTTTCACTTGTAGAGTAAAATATGAGATTTTGTAAGCGAAAAAAAATATCATTCATGAATGACGATGGAAAAAGGCAAGTTTGACTAAAAAGTGACATTTTTGAAACAAATTTTTGTAATAGATGTCAGAATTTATTTTACTTCAATCTTGATAACTGATTATTGCAACTGAAAATTTTAAGACTTGATTTTCCAGGTATGATGAAGGAATTTTTTAGGTTTTTGAAAAAAAAATTGCAATTTTGAATTTTTCCTGACCCTAAAGGGTCAAAATAAAATTCCCTGACAATTCCAGGTTTTCCCAGAGCGGTAGGAGCCCCGTTATAATAGGGGGGGGGGATCTGGGAAAACAATTTGTTGGCTTGAAGTCCTGAAATTTAGCTTGAGAATTAGCTCATCCTGGGTACCTGATAAGACTTTATCAGGTAATAGATTATGGATATAGCATTTCCAGAAATTATATATATGAGATATTGCATATACTAGGAAAAGGTAACTTATAACTAAAAAAAAGTACTTAGGTATATTACGAAAACAAAATTTTTATTATCAAAAAAACATAAATGGCAGTGTAAATTGATAACATGATTGACATGATGAAATGCAAAAATAACTTATGCAAGAATTCCTCACAATAAGATGATAATTTATATTCAAATTCATAAATAATTGCACAATCAGTGTGATTCTATTTACAATATATGAGACTATGTACAACAGATCAAAGTGACCAAACTACCTTCATTTGAAAAATTAAAACTGCCTTAGTCATGCACTACAAATTTAAATCCACCAAGTTATTAACAAGCGTTCATGTTTAAAATAAAATGAAATGTATAACAACTGATGTATATTTCAACAATATTTTCTATAACATTAAAAGATTAAAATTCATCATCCATCCCTAAAAGTCTTAACCTCTACAATTCATACATTCAAAAAATAATTTAAGTTTAAAACTCATAACAATTGGATGATGAGTGATTGATTTATTCAATAAAAACAATTTAATTGATATAAAACAGTTCCAAATGATATTTGGTAGAATTGTTCACGCTTCATGAAAGATGCTGGCAAACTATTGGCAATGGCATGTAAGCAAACACCTCTAAACATCAAGATATAAGCACTCTCACAATTCAGTAAAATGACTCATAAATACAATACATTCAATCCACCAAAGAATAATGACTACAATGAAATATATAAGTTTAAACAAATGCAATGTGTGAAATGAGGATGAAATTGGCACAAACAGTTTTCCTCTTATGCATCCACAGTAGATGTCTTGGCTCTTCTACGCTTGTTCTTTGAGCTGTAATTCTTGCAATAGGTGCGATAATGAGACATCTGTTCCGAATAATCCTCATGCAACATTGGCTTGTAGCTTTGAGGCTCACAGAGATCCTAAAATTAAAGTATAAATACATTACAAAAAAATTAAAATAAAATAAATGAAAAACTGGTAAGTCATGGCAAATCTTTTTCAAAACAGAAATTAAATTTTAGTAGTTTTTTTAGAATGAGTTTTTTGGCGGTTTGGCCACTTAAGAAGGTTAACACGCCCTATATAAGTAACCTTCTCCCTGATTTTTATTACATATGACTTGGCTTATAATAGCATTTGATGGCTAACTTAAAGCATAAACTACAGGTTTTGTTTACAGGGTTTGAAAGAAGGAAAATTAAGCACTTTCAAAAAACACCCAATAAAAAAGCACCTTTAAGCACTTTTTAAAAACACTACCCCTGGTTTAGTATAGCATAGCAAATTCTTATTCTAGCGCCATCAAACCTTGATTACTTTTTGATTAAAATATTTTGACCCTTAATCTACTGTTAAACCTTTAATTGCTGTTAAAACAGAGATCCCACTCTTTTAACAAAACAAAAATTAAGCACTTTTAAGGACTTTTTTTTAAAAAAATTAAGGATTTTAAAAACAGTATGATTGTTTATCATCGAATATACACATATCACCAGGGACAGTGCCAATTATTTACCTTTCTAAAAAAATCAATAAATAAAATTTTATTGTAATGTAAGCACGGATATAATTGTATTAATAAACAGGGCTCGCCAAAGAAGTACCAGGCAATTTTTACAAATCTGGGTAGTTTTTTTTTTAAAAAAAAAAAACATTTTCAGATTGTTAAAGGTTAACATCATTTATAAANCAATTCAGTAAAATGACTCATAAATACAATACATTCAATCCACCAAAGAATAATGACTACAATGAAATATATAAGTTTAAACAAATGCAATGTGTGAAATGAGGATGAAATTGGCACAAACAGTTTTCCTCTTATGCATCCACAGTAGATGTCTTGGCTCTTCTACGCTTGTTCTTTGAGCTGTAATTCTTGCAATAGGTGCGATAATGAGACATCTGTTCCGAATAATCCTCGTGCAACATTGGCTTGTAGCTTTGAGGTTCACAGAGATCCTAAAATTGAAGTATAAATACATTACAAAAAAATTAAAATAAAATAAATGAAAAACTCATAAGTCATGGCAAATCTTTTTCAAAACAAAAATTAAATTTTAGCAGTTTTTTAAGACTGAGTTTTTTGGCAGTTTGGCCTCTTAAGAAGGTTAACAAGTAACCTTCTCCCTGATTTTTATAACAGATGATTTGGCTTATAATAGCATTTGATGGCTAACTCAAAGCATAAACGACAGGTTTTGTTTACAGGGTGCATAATCAAATTATTCAACAAAAAATAAGCACCTTTTAAGCACACAAAAAATATTTTCAAGCACTTTAAAAAAATATCATAATTAGGCAAGGTTGTAAAATTTTTGACAATTGACAGTTTTATCTTGTTTTAACAGTCATGTCGAAGGGAAAAAAATATTTTGGCATTGTTTTTGACAATTGTCAAAAATCATGAAATTTTAAATCATGTCAAATGAATAGCGTTTTCATATGCTACGGTTTGACAATACGCCAAAGTAGATTGATTGTGTTTGAATTAATTGTGAAAACGTTGAATAGAACAATGTGAACTGTGTCTTTTTGCATAATTCATAGCGAAAATCAACACGGTAAAGAAAAAATCTTATTTTGAAAGAAGGAAAATTAAGCACTTTTTAAAAACACCCAATAAGAAAGCACCTTTAAGGGCTTTTAAAAAACGAAAATAAGCACCTTTAAGCACTTTTTAAAAACGCTACGCACCCTGGTTTAGTGTAGCATAGCAAATTCTTATTCTAGCGCCATCAAACCTTGATTCCTTTTTTATTAAAATATTTTGACCCTTAATCTACTGTTAAACATTTAATCGCTGTTAAAACAGGGTTCCCACTCTTTTAACAAAACAAAAATTAAGCACTTTTAAGGACTTTCTTTTAAAAAATTTTATTTAATTCGTTTTTTTTTAAAAAACATTTTCAGATTGTTAAAGGTTAACATCATCTTTAAAACTAATCTGTATTCCATTTTTAATGATTTCATTCAAATTCAATAGTAAAATTAAGTGCAGAAATTAAGATTTGCAATTTTTTATGTATGTTAAAAAAAAAAAAAAAAGATTAAGAAAGGAAATTCGGCAAAAACATTGAAAAAATTATTACAAGTTTTTATATTTTGCTATTAGACCTGCATCACATATTCAGTTGCGAGCCAATCTTGCTAAATATTCAGTTACACCAAAAAAAATTCTTTCTTTTCTATTAATAAAATGTTTCATTTATAAGGGAATATATTAAAAGAACTAACACTAAAAAGTTGAAATAAGAGTCATGCATGAGAATAGTTTTCTGAACTATGTCATTGTTAAATTAGGTCCTATTTCAAAGAAAAACAGGCCACACTAATCACCTTAAATCATTCCACTTTTTTTTTCATTAGGCTTAATTAAGTATATTGTTTTAAATTCATTGCAATAAATATTTTCATGAAAGTTTTTATGGAATAAAAATACAATTATGTTTGAAAAGATTTATAATTTTCAAACCAATATGTTTTTTATTAGTTCTCGGTGAAACAAATAAATAAAAGGGTTTAAAACAATTTTTCAAAGGTATCAACACATTCCTATAGCCAGAAAATAAGGTTCTTAATTAACAAATACTAATAAAAAAAATTTTCATCGTTTATAGATATTTATTAGTATTATTTCTTTATCATCCTCTATCGTTCTTAATATTATTTTCTACTGTTATTTGCCAAAATATTAAGCAGTTTTTAAGGACCATGAGACTCTGTAATTCTTTAAAGCGACTGTTAAGATAAACAGTTTTAATCGACTGTTATGATAACAGTTTAACATGTTCCAATTTTCCCTATAGCTGGACACCCCTGCTATCAGTAATTACTACTGTTTTTGTAATATAATGCTTAAATTTTTCTATGATAAAACAATCCACACTAAACAACACTAAATACAAGCAAATTGCACAAATACAAGAATAATAAACATTACTGCAAGCTCAAAAGACTTATAAAAAATTTTAAAAAAAGACTCGAAGCATATACTGCAGTCTTTGTTTGGTGCAGTACAGCAAATTTTTACTCTTGCCGTATTAAACCCTTAATTTTGATGAGATTTAAACATTTTTACCTTTATTCAGCTAAACCTTTAAATGCTATTTATATTTTTAATAAAGTGTTATTAGTAGTTGCTATTGTTATTGTAATATAATGCTTAAATTTTTCTATGAAAAAACAATCCACACAAGACAACACTAAATACAAGCAAATTGCACAAATACAAGAACAAACATAACTGTAACCTCAAAAGAATTTATAAAAAAAATCATGGTATAAAATACACAATATTTTCCTTGTAAAGGATTCTGAGAAATTTTTAGAACCATTATAGGGAAAAAAATATAAGTAAATTACACTAATAACTACAAATTTAAATTGAACATAAATACTTAAATGGGCTAGAACATAAAAACTTAACAGTCAGCTTATTATGTTCCTAAGTTGACAGCATATAAAAGATATTTAAGTCATTTTAGATAATTGTAACAAGAATAATTTTGTACAAGAACTGGAAACACCTAATCTGGCTCTGTAAAAGTTATGTTAGTCAAAAAGAAATCAGATTCATAATACCAAACTAGTGAATAAATACCAAAATCTATTTATGCAGAAATCATAATAATTAAAATAAATTATTTCTAACCTAGTGAATAGCACTGTTGAACTGCAAATATGGTTATTTTCAAAAATTGAAGAAATTGTTTAACAAAAAGTATTTCACAATTTTTTTTAATCTTAATAAATATATGAACATTTAACCATGTTGGCATGAAATTTTTATGATTGTGATTTTGATTTACTCTGAACCTTTATTGCCTATATATTGTTACCATGAGTTTAAAACTTTCCATTTCTTTTCCACAATCCCCCTCCCCTAAAAAAAAAAACAATATTCCTGGATACAATTTCAGGCTTTAGATTTCCCTGCACTTGGGGAAGCAATATTATTAATACTCCTATCAATTCTCAAATAAATAATAAGCCAAGTAAAAATATTGATAAGTGTTTTTCTATGTGCTTGATAAGGGTTTAGATTATTTTCTAAAATGCCTAATCGGGGTGCGTAGCCAAATCTTTCAATAAAAAATAAGCACCTTTTAAGTACTTTTTAAGCACTCAAAAAATATTTTTAGGCACTGTATGCAGTGACAAATTGCAAAATAATTTTTAAAGACTTTATATGATCATAATAAAATAACTAGCTTCTGACAAAGAACTCTTTTTCTTGATTATACTAGCCATTTCAAAATGATCAAGAGATTTTTCGGTTTGATATCAGAGTGTGGAAAATAAAAGCTTGAAATTGAGAATAACTTGCAAAATGCAGCAGAGTTGCACACGAGAGTGCAATAAACTCCCTGAACCTTGCTCAGTAGACGCACACGCGGGCTCGCAAGTATTTCATCAAACATGTAAAATGACAGGCTCTTTCATAAGTTACGGACCGATGGATTGTGGTTGAATAAATTGCGAAAACATTGAGTAGAACAGTCGGAAAAGCACGCTTTTGCTTAATATGAGGCGGAAATCGACAGGGTAAAGAAAAAAATATCATATTTAAAAAGGGAAAATTAAGCAATTTTTAAAATCACCCAATAAAAAAGGCACCTTTAAGGGCTTTTAAAAAACCAAAATCAAAAATCAGGGTTCATACAGAGATCAGAAGAAGAAATCCAAGGAGTCCAAAACTTTAAGGACTTATCAAAAATTTAAAAACTTTTTTTTAAATTAAAAAGTAGTTATTATAAAGAACTTTCAAAAATGTATCAATTTTGCATAAGATATTTTTTCCTAGCCCTCCTGAAATAATTTTTGACTTTGTTAAACTTCATCAAGAAAAATAAAGTTATCACTTTCACACATAAATACATTTTCCAGCTTCAAATATTTCAATAAATCTTGTTAAAGTGCATAGTACAGATGTTATTAAGATTAACATAAAAACCTACCAATCTTATATTTTGAAATTTGAATACATAAGAAAATCTAAGGCATTTCATACAAAAAAACAAAACAAAAAAAATCACAGTAAATTATTAAGTTTGCTTGTAACATTTAAAATTTAATTATTTGCTGTTATTCTTTTCTTCTAATTCTTGCAGTTCATTTTTTTTTTTTGAAGTTTTTCTGAAACTATTAGACTTTGACAGCTAACTCATATCATTTAGTTTCCCTGTTTGGACAGCAAATTCATCCGCAGACTTAGTAAATTAATATATGCAACCCAATAATCTAAGGAGTTTCTAAGGACTTATTTGGAAATCTAAGTAGTTCTAAGCACTCCTCGGAGACTTTTTTATTTCCAAGGAGTATAAGGAGTCTGCACGCACCCTGTCTAAAATAAGCACTGTTAAAAATGTTATGCACGGTGCTAATAATGAAAATTCTTAATTAAACAAAGATAAACTGGCAAAAGGTTGTCTATTTAAATGTCTTCTAGAGTTGGCAGTCATAAACATGCATGCATGACAACCCATAAAAATATAAAATTAGTATCCAAATGTATAATGTTACCTCGAAGGTAGAATAGAAAGCCTTATAACCACCCTCCATGACATATAATTCAGGATAAAAAAGATGAGGATAATGATCTCTATTTAGATTCCTGTCTGTGCTTCTTAAGAATCGCATCCTGTAAAAATAAATACAATTTCAATTTTCACAAAATCCCACTATTTAAAATAGATATACATACAACCAAATTGTACATAAATATATTTATAAATACAAGTAATGCTGGCATGCATAATATATTTAAAATACATATATTATATATCGCTCAAATTCCATTACACTTGAAACTAACATTTACCTATAATAAGGTAAAAAGGAAAAACAATTTCTGAAAAAATCTTCTATATTCTTTGTTGTATTGCTAATTGCATCGTCAGCGGTTAAATGAAAGAAATTCATTTAACCACCCCGGTATTCTAATTTAAAAGTAAAGAAGCATGCTTCTCTAAAAATCCTTATTTAGATGCTTACAAAAAATACTCTATAAAATGCTTGCAATGTATTTCATCAAAATGGTCCTCAAAGCTTATTTTTAAGACACTAATTTCTCGATTTACCTATTAAAACTAAAATTATGCAAAATGACTTGCAAAAAGCACTGATCTCTAGACATTTTCTGTATTATTCACATCATAAAGTATAGAAATTATAAATGGTTTTTAAGTCCAATCTCCAATAAAGAAATTTTCAACATCCCACCCCACACATTTACTATTTTAATTTATAGAAAGGGAAAAATATTTTAAATAATTTTCTGTTGGCCCTTGATTTCTTAAAATACTCTTGACTACCAACCCCCCCTTTTTTTTAGTACTTAAAATGCTTTCTTGAACTCCAGTTTTTAAAAATATCTTTAAAATAGAATGGCAACTGCAAGAACTGAGATTGTGAATGAAGAGTGTGTGCATGAAATAACTAAGTAGCATATAACCAGCTAATGTGTACACATCTGTTCCTTAAACAAACACTGAAGACATGTATGCACAAGTATGAAGATTCAATCTATAAAAATGAGAAGAATTTGCTAATAAGAAGAAACTAACACTTATAGGGAATTAGTTACTGTAGACAATAATATTGCCATTAATGATGAGTAGAAAGAATCTGAAATATTAAAAAACTGTACAGCAGATTCCATAAGATGTATGAAATGAAGCAACGATTATGGTAAAAATAAAAAATTATTGAACTTAATCTGGCATAAATCTGGAAACATAACTAAACTCATAAATTTTAAAATGCCAGTGCAATTAATAGTTTGATTAAATTGTACAAATCTTCTGACTTTTGATATTATCAAAGAGTCTTTTTCTGTTCAGGACATAAGTAATAAAATGAATTTACTGTAATAGCAATAAAAAGAACAAAATGTCTGAATAAACTAATAATTTCTAAAACAGTAAGGATCTTCTTTTAATTAACTTATTATGTTTTTGTACCCTACTTAGCATTAACTAAACCAATATTGGACCTTATGACAAGATAAGCTTTGCATTCTCTTTAATGTTATTATTGTGACCCAGGGTCAGTCACTTTTTACATAAAATAACTGCAACCCTACAAAAAAAATATATATATTAAAAACTTCCCAAAACGAAAACTGTTATTACCCAACCACAAACATGCCAATTAACTCCTATGAAATTACGGATAAATTGTAATAGCTAGCATCTTTGCACAAGCGAAGTTACCACATTGCATTAAAAAATAATGATGAAGTAACAATGTGACTGAAATGAACCATGACTTACATGCTAGGGGCACGTTCAGATGAAAACTCACAATAGAATATCAATATAGGGTAATCAGTCTTCTTTTTTTGTGAGAAAAACCGAGCTTCAGCATCTCCTTTGTAGTAAATGTTGAGTGCATTCTATCAAAACATATTTTAAAAAAATTTATAAATAAATTTAATAAAAGGAAAATTGCATAAGTTTTATCTTATCTATAAATAGAAAAAAAGAGCTTAATTTAATTAAACCAAATTAAATATACAGTTCACATCATTAAATATATCACAAAAAAGAAAAATTGCTCACCATTGGAGGAATTTTATTTTGAATACAATTTCATTAAACAATACATCATTAGAATCAAATAGCTTAATGCTTTAATCTATAAGTTCAGAAAATAATAGTTCTGGGAAAAAACAAGGTTCAGTTTTTAAATAATCTAGCAAATATACGTATATCACTATAATTTTGAAGCTGCTTTTTTATTCTCCAAAACAGTAAATAATGAAACAGAGATGAAGATATAAACTTACTTTAATATGACCACCAGCATATTCATATGGGTATCGACAGTCAATGATTGTAAACTCAAAAGAATCACTTCCTTGAAGCAGATTTGCAACCTAAAGAGAGAACAAATTAAACCTTTCTAATAAAACTGAAAAATGCAAACATAAAATAAATACTTTCTGAAAATTAATTATTGAGTTTAACTGTTGAGGAAATAAGTGTGAATTATTACAATAAGGTGGAAAATACTTTCAGAATGCAAACAGGTGATTGACTAATAAGTGCTGCCCAATAATAAATACATGAACTTATGCTTGGCAACATCTTTTACTTCATAATTAAAATATTGCTAGTCAATTCTCTGATATTTAAAACTGTGTTTAACATCTTCCTTCTCGTTCCTGTGAAAACGACGAGGTGAGGTTTCGCCCTCTATTTCTCGACCCCATGATATTGACGAGCTGGAGTGTGCAGTAGAATCGCACCAATAAGAATCAAACTAATTCATTTCTTTTGCCCGGAAAACATTTTATTTCTCATTTTATACACTAGGTGGCAGTACTAGGATATTTTTAAGGTGATTGTGGAAGAGATTAAAACAATAAGAGATGTAGGAAGGAAACTCGGAACTACAATCCAGATTGTGACGTTGGCCTCTGTATCTCATGCTTTGAAATTTATCACACAAGAAAAAATTACTAATCTTTATTTATATTATATATAAGTTTGAAAAATTCGTTTTTAATGTTTAAAAGGCATATTTTTAAAAATTTTCCTTGCTTGTTGGAAAACCACCATTAAGTCATTAAGTCTTTTCCTAAGAATTTAATTTTTTAAAATTTCAAACTAAAAACAAGTCAGAAATTAAAATTGAATATATATATTGTTCATACATATATTGTTATATAATTTTCAGGGATAAAAAAATTGGCACTTTTATTACCGTTTTCTTGAAAATTAACTGATCGTAAAAGGGTTAACCCTCTAAGTACAAAAACTGCCAATAAAAATTTTAATATAATCTTTCTGAAAACCTTTTGACTATATAGGAGAAAAAAAAAAAAGAATTATTACAAAGTTTACATTAATAAATCTTGTAAATAAATAACACCCAAAAAATTTCCTGCCATATCAATCATTTTAAATAAACAAATTTATTAATTTCTTCAACAAATTTCTCAAACAAATTTATTAACTTAAATTTCTTTTGTTTTAACAAATTTATTAACTTAAATTTCTTTTGTTTTAAAAAGTTTTCAGCAAAAAATAAGCATCTTCTAAAAATATTTTTAGCACTCTAAAACTATTTAAAAGAAATCTCTATATAAAAGAAATCATTAGGATATGCACAATAATAACTTTCCTCACCGCACCTTCCTCAGGGTGAATTCCTTTATATACAGACATAAAAAAACAAAATGCAAAACCATTTTCAGAGATTTTTTTTATAATCATGATTAAATAACTAGTTTTTGGCAAAGAACACTATTGATGGCTTATTTTAACTGCATTTAAATAATATTACAGCTCTTTTTTTCAAAATTAATAATTACTTTATTATGTATAATTGGTTCCCAAAAGATTATCGCCTCAATTTCAGAGGGTGAGATATAAAGCTTGAAATCAAAAAATTTTTGCAAAATGCATCAGAGTGAGTACGAGAATCCTTCTCACTGAATTCAGCTCAGTGTACATACATGCGGTATAGCATATATGAACATTAAAGGCGAATGTCGTTCACAAAACTTTTTTCATTATTACTAAAAAAAAAATCACAATTCCTTCCTTAATGTTCATAGATCTTTAATGCTGTTCAATCTGGTAGAAATAGTTATGAGAATCTTTTTTTCTCTGCCCAGCACAACTGCACTTCTCCAACAATTACATATAATAAAAATTCAAAATAAAAATAAATAAAATAACGACAATTTCGTAGCGATCATGTAAAACTCTGACTTCTGATTCGCTGTCCATCATTCATCGTTATGAAACAAACATTGTCTATGTAGCAAAGCAAAATCAGCGTCATTTTCTCAGCTAGACAAAATCAAAATCGTTTTAGTCTGTTTGGTAACAGCATTAGCATAGCCAAGGATCCCTGCATGTCAAATCACTATATCCTGAGCATCTTCTTATGCAGGCAGCTTAAATAAAATTCTACTGCTTAGCCAGAAACAAAAGCCATTATACCGGAATGAGGATGCATGCATTAAATCGATAATTCACAACGTATCACCTAGCCCTAATAGTTAGTAGAGTTGGAAGCTATGTATGATTTAAAATAAATACCACTAAAAGGGCAATATTTTCTATTATTATGGGCAAAATAAAATAAAAAATTAAAAGGAAACACGAATCTACACAGACAGTTAGTATTTAAATTTATTGATAAATAAAAAAGTAAAGTAAAAGGGCAAAAAGCAAAATGTTGCAAAATTAAAAATTTCGTCTCCAAAAGAAATAATAATAGATAAATGATTCGATGAAATGAAAGATGTGCAAAATATACACACATGAAAGATATGTAAAAACTTCCTGCGAGCACAAATCTCATTTAAAAATGCTCGTCTATTAATTTATAATCACTTGTAACGAGTTTCAGCCTTTTCGTTACCGTCCAACTTTGACTAAATTTGTTTGAAAAATCATAGATACTTCACAGAACTTCTGAAGCATTTTAATGTATATAAAACTCTATAAATACTTTATATACTACTCTATAAATACTTATAATACTTTATAAATACTTTACTTAAAATTAAGTTATTTAAAATTCTTTTAAGAGTTGAAGAAATCTGTATAAAATCTCAGTGACTAAAAAAATTAAGCAATTTATACATTCAAAAACTTTGAAACTACTTTTTACTTCTGATAAAAAAAAAAGAAGCCAAAAAAATCTTACTGTGTCTGGAGAGATTGTCTTTAAATCTGGATGTTTTCCATCAATCACAGGTAAAACACAAGGCTATGAGGGAAAAGAAGTTATTAGCATTCTCAACATTTTGTTAACATATTAAAAAATCCTCAATGGGAGAAATAATGTAACAAATAAAATATGATGCTTTACCTTGGAAAAGTCTCCTATTAAGTCAGGATTTTGAATAGCTGTAAGAGTACAGATATATTTAGAACAAATACATTGTCTTACATTGATAGACACATTTACAGTATATTGGTCAAAAAAGAAAGGAAACGAATTATGATCGATGCATTGCAAAACAATTCTCACAACAACATTTAAAATAATTCCTAGCTCTCCTCAATTGTTTTATATATAACTACTTGATCCTATAATAATTTAGGAACAAAGAAGGCCAAAAGCATTAATTCTCTCGAGAAAAAAAAAATCAGATTTTTTTATTTTACTTCTGTTGTATTTTAAAGTCAAAGTATCTCATAAAATGTGTCACTAATATTCAATATTATTTCAAAACAATAATATAGCTGAACTTCCAAATTAAAAATGTTGAACAATAAGAATAATAGATTGCCTTAAACTGATAGACACATTTATAGTACATTGGGGTTTTTTTAAAAAAAGGGGGGGGGGGCAGGAAACTAATTATGATCTATGCATTGAAAAAAAAATTTATAGAAATATTAAAAAAATTCCTTGCTCTCTCTCTCAAATTGTTTTACATATTCAACTACTTAAGAATTGCTCTTAAATTATTATTCTTTTAGGAAGAAAAAAAAAACAATATCATTTATTCTCTTGGAAAAAAAATCATATTTTTATTAATTTTTTCTTATTTAAAGACAAATTATATGTGGTTTTGTTAAGAGCAAAACAGAATTATAATTATGGGTATTTACAGTTAAAAAATGAAAGTTACAATTAAAATTACATTTAATAATTTTAATAAATAAAAACACTGATTAACCACTAATGAATTTTTGCTTTAATAATAATTGCATTTAATAACAAATCTTATTGAAAAAATGATTTAAGAATTACTCACATTTTTGCACAGCAAGCTTTATAGAATTTTCAGGACTCGCAGTTGTCAGTGAAGCAGTGTCTTCCTGTAAAATTAATCAAGCATGAATATTTAAAGAATTCTTCCTTCAAAACATTGAAAGCGAAAATAAATAATGCACCAAAGGAAATATATTAAATCACTCTGAAACTTAAATCAGTTAGAGCACTTAAAAGAAATTAAATTATCAATGAACTACATTACTTATCTAATATGTAACATAAATATAAAACCTAATTGTTTAATCATTAATGTAAAGTAAAATGAGAAATATAGTCTGAGTAATCATCTGTTGTTCACTAGGCACCTTACCAATATTCATTTTCAAGTTGGCAAGAATTTGAAAAAAAATTTTTCACTTTGAAATAGTGCCAATTTCGGAGAAAAATTTACAAATAAAAAAATGCCCAAGACTGAACAAATGAACTTTTTTTTAATAAAAAAATAATAAATACCAATAAATTTTTCAATAAAATCTAACAATTTTATAAAAGAAAAAAATTTTACATTTCTAGATAAAAAATTATTTAAGGTATTTATTTTTATTATAGTAAACAACACAAGCGAGTAAGCCAATGATCTTTTTTTTTTTTTTTTTTTTTTTTTTTTTTTTTTTTTTTTTTTTTTTTTTTTTTTTTTTTTTGATTTCTTCAGAATTTAGGTTGTCATTTCACAAATATTAAACCTAAAATCCTAACACTGTTCCAAGTCTTGTACAGTATTGCACATTTGGCCTCTTAGTATGATGTTGAGAAAAAATTTCTAGGAGTGTTTGTTGATTCTTAAAACAACCAGAGTACTTTTAATCAATTATTACCTTTATCTATTGAAATCGTCAAAATTAAAAAACTTAGTAAAATAAATATATGTTCTATTATCATTAACGAATGAGAGAGTTGGTCATGAAAGTTCCAAAATTACGAACTCTCAGAAACAATTCATTAAAAAAGAACCTTTGTTTTAATTACATGAATCATTTTTAAAACAGTACATCATAGCTTACATAAAAATGTTGCGGCACATCAACTATAGTATTAGGGTCTTAAAATTGAATTTAAATAAAAAATGCAACTTGGCCTTAAATGAAGCTTAGATTTTTTTTTCATTCTATAAAATTGAGAGTTGAATATCATTTAAGAATCTTATGTTGTCTAAAATTGTTGCCTCCAAAACTCTGTAAAGAAATTTTTTTTCAATTTTTTTTTCTCCCTATTTAATTCTACTTTCACATTTGAAATTTTCCACAAATTAAATTTCTTGTTATGATTTTTATTTTATTCTTTAAGAAAATTTAAGGGGGGAAAAGTGTTTTTAACGTCTAGCACAAGCATTAGTAAAATTCCAATCTTAAAGAATTAAATTTGTGTATACAAAAACTATATGAACTAAGAGCAAATAAAAATACATACCACCAGGTTTCTTATTAAAATGGAGCTTCTCTTTAAGGGTGTTGTGCAACTATCCATTCTATTTGGCGTACTTCTGTTCCAGTCATTTTTGGCAGATACTTCCATGCGTCTTTTTCTTACATTGAACTGAGAAAATGGGCTATCATCACAAACCATAAAGTTTGGCGACGGGGTTTGTTTTGCAAATAGAGACATAGGTACAACAGGTGAACTATTATGCTCTGGGTTTGATTGTGGAGATTTGAATTCAGACTGAAAATATATAAAAGTAATGTTAAACTATTATTCATTGCATATTTATAGTTGGTATTATATACAGTGAACTCCCGATTATCCGGGTTAATCACCGGGACAGGTTGCATGGACAATCGAAAAACACGGATAATCCGAAAACTACCTTTATTAAAAAAAAATTCAATATCAGTACAAAAAATATAAAAATTACTGACATTTGAATGCATAACATCAAACTAGGAATTTTTCTTATTAAAAAATGTGTAATGCGTCTTCGCCATATACACATATTTTACGAACAGCAGTAATGTCACTGTAATCAAATCCTCCCATATAATCTAATAAAGTTTCCACAAAGCAGCAGAATGAGAAATTGTATTTCCCTCATTTACTACATCTTCTGCATCAGTTACTATCATCACTATTTGATTTAACAACATAACGATGTCTTCATCAGTCAAATACTGGAAGCCTGGCTCACATGCATCACTTTGAAACCAATCTTCTAAATTTTCTTCATCAAGAATTTCGAAACCTTCGATTTCTTTTGCTAGTTCGAGAATACAGTTATCATATTTTTCTTGAACATCTGAAGAGGATTGTTCTTTCTCCAAGATCGTGATAACGTAGACGATTTTACCTTTGACCATGCTGCTGATATTCCATATACTGCAATCCAATAACGAATATTGCTTCCAAAAATTTGGTAGTGTTATAACTTCATGAATCAAATATTTTTAATATTGAAAATGCTTCTATTTATAATTTTTGTGTGACTACGGAATGAGCACGGATAATCCGCAAACCCGATAATCCGCGCACGGATAATCGAGAGTGTACTGTACATATATATATCATAAAAATTTTAATTCAATTCAAATTATGTTCTCCCAAACTGTGATAAGCAGGACCCGGGCTAAGGATTTTAAATTATTAGCTAGTAAATTAGCCAAATATTAAAAGTGTTGGCCAATTTTCAAAAGTCTTCGCCAAATGCAAATGTTAAAAAAATTTTTAAAAAATTCTGATATAGAAAACTATGTTATGGTAGTTGGTTTAAGGCTTATATTATTTGGACCTAATTCTTATTGGTTATGTGGCGAACCTACCAAAAGTTACTCTAATCAAATAAAAAAAATACTGATTTGTTTAGAAAAATTCATTTTGATGTAATTTTGAGGATCAAGTTAAATATATTTTTTTCTTTCCAGTCAAAAAAAAATCTTTCACCAAAACACAATTTTCTTCGCCAAAGCTTTGATTTATTGCATTTGGCGAAGTGGCGAATGCTTGGTGCGGGCCTGCAAAAGTAGAGAAAACCATTTGCAGGGGTCTGTCTAGGTTTTTCTGAGAGGTACCTATTTTGTGAAAATTTAGACATAATTTGTGAAAAATTAAAAATTATACTAAAAAATCAACACAAAAATTTGGATTTATCGTTTCTTAAGGGATACAAAAATGAAAATTTAAGAGAAAGTATTTTGTGAAACTACCGTTTTTCCTAAAATTGAATTTGTGAAACTACCGTTTTTCCTAAAGTTGAATTTGTGAAGGTACCGCTAAACGGTAGTAAATTCGGCCTGGACAGACCCCTGATTTGTTAGTGAAAAAATTATCCTAAACACGCTATTTGATACCAAATTAAGAATAAATTCCTTTAAATCAGGAGACATAAAAAAATATATTCTCGGTTACTTTCAGTAGAAGTTTTTTCTAATTCTTAATTATTTTAAAAAGTGCTCCTAATTAAATAAACATAAAACTAAATGGGTTTAATTGAAATATGTTCATTAAACATTAAATTATTTAACATGCAATATTATTTCATTGAAATATGTTTATTAAATGTCAAACTATTTAACATGTAACTAATGAAAAATTATAATTTAAAAGTTTACTTTGATTTTATCGACATTCAGTTTTTTGTCTTTATTGTTCACTAACTTTGAACATCGAATTATAATTTATTTACAATGCCCTCTCATTATTAGTCTGGATAAAACCTTCAATTAGACTTTTAAAAAAAACGAAGCAAAAAAATTCTTATAAATATATATTACACTTAATAACTGATATATATATATATATATATAGTAAATATAGTTATAAACCTATTTTTCAGATAAATCAAGTACAAAAATATGTGTAAACCTTTTCATTTGCTAAGATTGTAATTTAGGTTTAAAAAAATAAGGCATTACCTAATAAAACAAATAGAAGTGTAAATGCTGATTCTAAATGGCTGCAATAAGTGCTCTGTACTTTTAAAATCATGCTAAAAATTACCGTTCCTATGTTAGATTTGCTTTAACATCATGATAAATTTTAATTTTTAGTTCTATATAACAAATCTGAGCTCTATGTATAGATTTTTTTAAACTGAACATTACATTGAAGTGTCTTTTAACCAAATATCTACACTGTATTTCATGCCAAAAAAATAGTTATAATTGTTCTGTTACCATGTGACATTAAATAATCTAATATAAAAAAAAATTATTAAAAGAAACCAAGCTTAAATATCAAATAGCATAATAAAATTTAAAAATATCCATAAAAAGAAATTATAATCTTCTAAGTATAATAATATTACCCACATTCAATAGAACTTACAAGAAATCCTCTATTTCTACATCAAAAAGTAGCAATAAAATGTACAAAATAAAAGCTTAACCAAGTGCAGAGCAACTATTTCGTGCTTTAACCATGTGCAAGAGTAACAATTTCAGGCTAAAAACATTTTAATAAGAAAACGACAACAGTAATTTTTCGAAAATTACAGTGTTACACACAATTACACAATCAAAAATAGTATAATTTTGAAGATGTCGCCAAGCAGCTTGGTGAACCTTCAGCAGCTGCAGATTTTTATACTAAGTTAATAAATTCATAAGAAAAAATTTTAATATTTAATTACAAATTTTCACCTAACACATGTATAAGCTATAATGCCAAATGGCACATGTATAAGCCATAAATGATGGTTAAAAAGTATGTAAGGTATAGATATAATTGACTTTATCATGCTCTACAATAGGGAACATTTTGACATTCAATTCACCATGCAATAAGCAAAGCAGGTGATACAGCATCAGTTTGTACACTAATCATATTTCTAAACATAGTTCTAACTCTATACAAGAAAATAATAAGCAATCATTAAAAAACACTAACGCTTTTAAAACTTATGGCAAAACTAAAAAAAAAAAATATATTTAAGTAAACAGTAACTTACATTAGAATCAAACAAGCACTTCTTAACTTTAAATACTGATGTGATCTTCATATTTCTGCTACCAGCATTCCGATTTTCTTTATTCCCTCTTTTATCCTGATAAAATAAAAGCAACAGATTAAATTAGTGACTTTCACTATCTTTACTTACGCTGTAACATCGACACGCATGGTAGCTATGAGAACTAAATGCTGCCTTTCTAATGGTAATCATGAAATGAAATAAATAAAGGACTAGTTTTGATAGTCATTATTAATTCAATAGTTCTGTCGAAATCTTTATGAAATGAGAATCAAATGTATTACATGAATTACCTAGATTGAAGACACACAAATGTTTAGACAACAAAACATTCAGGTAATAGTAAAGATGTAAATACATACCATAATTGACGAAATCAGAAAGGATTAAAATCTTGTAAGTGAGCTAAAATCTTGTTAACTATTGTGAGCACGTGAGGAAAAGTAGACGGAAAATTTCTGGTAGCACAAATGAATAATTATAATAAAAATCCAAAAGTTTTTCAAGACGCGGTCAAATATCCCGGCACCACACCATTCTAGTCTTTTGCCCCCAAGCTATTAACTAGCCAATCAAAGAGCAGAACAGATTTGGCCTATCACAGCGCCGCTATGTGGATTAAAAAAGGGAAATGAAACTCAGTTCGTAAATAGAGCATTTTTAAAACTAGGGATCATTTTTTTTTATCATTGTTTTCATTTTCTTATTTCTTTTTTTATGTTTATTTTTTCTTCAATTGTTTTAAGATAATCATAACAACTTCCAATTTGTGCATACTTTTTTACAACGATTTCTAATTTTTGCAATAGAAATGAAAAGAATCTTAATTCGCTACCAATTAAAAAGATTATTATCAAATCACTGCGATTTTTATATTATTCGATCATTGAGTAAAATACAAACACGGTAAACCCCAATTATCCGGCGCTTTGTCATACGACACTTCGGTCATCCGACACCCCTTCCGAAGAGCATTAAAAGCATTTTGATACACCCCTAGCAACAATTTTACCTTGTCCTCAAAATTAGCTCAATTTGGGTCCTATTAGAACATGCACAGAAGAACCAATATTGGGATGTCTAGATTTTTTAATATTGGTTCTAGAATGGCCTATATAAAGCCTACATTGGCCAATATAGAACCTATATTGGCTAAATAATGGATATAAAACAACTGGTGAATCTGACAATCCATATAGAACTGATATTGGTTGTAAAGTGGCTGTAAAATAACGAGTGAATCGGAAAATTCTACAATGGGTCAATATCGGAAAAATGGTGTTCCTTTGAAATATTATTGAGCCAAAATTTATGAATATTGGCCCAATTAGGTCCCAAGTTATTTGGCTGCTAGGGATAATTTATTACAATTACAGCTGATGTTTCCTAATTACAGTCGTGGCGATAGTTTCAAAATTTGACTATTAGAAAATGATAAATAAAAGGAAAAATAAATCTAGCTATCTTTTTCTTTAACGCTATCTCATCGTTATTTATTATAAATAAAAATCACATTTATTACGATAAATTTTACTCAATTTTTTGTTAACATCATTTTTTTAAAAATACACTTAAATCTTCTGATTGTCTGTTGATTTTGATTTTTCAAATATCTACAAAATAAGTAAAACAATTTTATAACAATTTTTTATTACAATATTTTTTTCCTTTTATGAGAATTGTTGTTTATCTTAATTTTGCTTACCTGGTATTTTTCGAATTCAATTGACTTGAAAATAATTCTTTAATCAATTAGATTCTAAAAAAGTTCTTTAAATCTCAGATTTTTAAATCGGTGTCTTAAAATTAAATGCATTGTTTAATCAAAAATGACAGTCTTCCAACCAGTTCTTAATCTTTCTCTATCCTTTTCAATTACTTTTTATTTTATATGCAACTTAGGATGCTATAATTTTTAATTTAAAACTTCTTTTAAAATTTAGTTAGGTAAACTAATGTAATTAATATATTTAAAAATAATATGACTAGATTTTACTACAACTGATTAAAAATTTTACGATAACAATTTTGTATCTAGGACCTGCAAAAACCAAAGTTCGTCGCCATTATTTTATTTTGATCGCTGAATTTTGTTCATAGTGTTATAAAGACAAATATTTATTTTTTTTCCACAGTTGCATAGTATTGAAATAATAGATTGTCTCACTTAATTTCAAAGTAACAGTGGCCGCTTCAAAGTAACAGCTTTTTTTTCTTGTCTCTTGGTCTTCTTAATATTTTGAAGTTCTCCTTAATTTTTTTCTCTTCTATATTGCGACTGTTTTCGATTTTTTTTCTTTGGCAGAAATGGCAAGCTTTAGCCATTTTGTAAGGGGATTCCAAAAACACATTAAAATGGAAATAGTAAAGCAATACAATATTGTTAGAATTTTTTGCTCATGAAAAATTGCTTACCATCATCAAGGCTCGAAATTAACGGTGGTCTTTTGATCAAAGATCACTAAAAATTAATTCGGACTATCATAAAATAAAAAGCAGTGTTCCCACGTAGCAGCAATCCATGTAAAACAATGAAATGCTGCTTTTTTTAAATTTTATTTAAGGATTTTTTTAATTTTATTTTCGGTTTCACGTTTCATTTGACATTCCCGTGTTGTAATTTTTCATATTAATTTAGCTTTAAAAAAATCTAATAGCAACGTGCAAATGTTTCTATAGAAATATGTACGGATTAGCATTTTCCTGTATTCCATCAGATTCAAAAAAAATTTTAAGTGTAATAAGAGTCCCACTTTTTTTTTATCTCTTATAATAACGGAACAAAAAAAAATTCACTTGCAAATAGTTGATAAACAATCCCTAGCAGCAAAATAACTCGGGCCCTCATTGGACCAATATTCACGAATCTTGACTCAATAAGGGTTCAAAGAGCCATTATTTTCCCGACATTTGCCCTCAATAGAATTGTCCAATTTACCCGATATTTTACAATCACTTTTCAGCCAATATCGCTCCATACAGAATTATCAGATTAATCCTATATTTAATATTCATTAACCAGCCAATATAGGCCATATATTGCCCCCATAAAAGCTGATATTGACCCAAGATAGAACCAAGCCCGAGGGTCCCTGTCCGGGGCCCTTGAGTGTCTCAGTTTTTATAAATTGTCTAAAAAAAACTGAGACTAAACAAAATTGCCTTATATATTTTTTAAAATAAATATATTATATTATATAAAGTGTGTATTTTGCTTTTGTTTCTACAAATAGTGATTGATTGTCTTGCAAACAACAATAATTTGAATAGTTTATCACCAGGGAAACTTATAAAGGCAACTGAAATCTATTTTTCGACGTTCCAATGAAATTTTTATGTGAATTCAGTTTTTTCGGGTCTACTAAAAACAAATTTAAATACATTTAATTCAAACTGTATTTAAATTTGTTCAAATTATTGCATATGTTAAAAATGCCTTATTTTGTGTATGTGAAGTTTTTTAGTTCGATTTTAAGCAGTATGACATGTTATAAGGGTCCAAAACATTTCTTTGATCATGGGCCCTGAATGCTATTAAGACGGCCCTGCCCAACTGTTGCAGCGATAAAATTGTTGCTAGGGACCTGGTGTTCATCAGTCAAATAAATGTTTAAATTTTTAAAGAAAAAGTAAGGATGATCAAACTTCCTGTATGGCCAGACCTCCCAGCATGTTTCAGGAACTTTGTCAAAGAATAGATCATGACTTTCCCTGCCTGAGTGACATTTTATTATTTGATCTCTTATCAACTCTCCATTCATTGCAGGTAGATAAGAAACTCTAGCAACCCTAGAACGAAACTACATGCATGAATTACACTTTGAATGATTGAAATGTTACAATAAAGGAAAGAAAAGGATTCTCTTCTTATTCAATGTCATAAATCAGTATTTCCCAAAGTGTGGTACGCGTACCCCCAGGGGTACGGGAATAGTTTAGCGGGGGTACGCGTTCTTATGCAAAAAATCTTGGAACAAACGCAAATTTCAAAAATTTTTATTTGAAAACCAAGCTTGCCATGAAAATTTACGATTATGTATTTTTCTAATAGCTATTTCTTGCAGACTTAACAGTTAATAATTAGTGGTGTCAACAACCAGTTGTGATTTTTAACTTTTGTGCAATTTTTTATGGTAAAAAATACATTCATTTTTTTTATTAGTGGTACACAGCGTTACTAAAAATTTAGAAAGGGTACACAAAAGTCATAAATTTGGGAAACACTGTAACAAATCATAGGACAGAGTCCTTCTATTTTGAACTTTCAGTTAGACATTTATCATAAAACAAAATAAATAATTGTTTAAGCTCTATCAAAATATGCTCTATAAATTTATTTGATCCATTATCTAAAGGATTCCAATTAATCAGCAAAATAATTTGTATTAATGGACAGCATTGACAAAATGCACATAACATATTCGATTACAAAAATTAATAGCCACTTTTTCTTTACAAGATGCAGGCTCACTTATGATTTTTTTTTTTTTTAAGTATGTTGTTTTATAGGTCATTTGGGTTTTGTTAATTTTATTTTTGAATCAGATTTTTAGTTTTTAATTTCTTAAAGAATCATTTTATATTTTTGAAATCAATAATAATAGTAATAAATAAATAAATATATGAATAAATAAATTAATTAATAAATAAAGTAAATGAAAAGTTTTAATGTTTCCTATTAGTTGATATATTTGTTAGCATTATAAAAAAATTATATACCTTGCAAATTATTCACAAAATGTAAACAAATTAATTCATTTCAAAATTTTAAACGAGAGGGAATGATGTTTCAATTTAATTTCTTGACGATAAATTATTGATGTTTTAATTGATAATATTTTTGATGAATTAAAATAATGATGATTTGAGTCTCACCCCTGAAAAAGTATGGGGTAGTTGGCCTTGCCATCCGCCTTGGGCATTACCACCCCCTCCCCAGTATTTTAATTTGAAGGTCAAGAATCCAAATTCGTCAAAAAAATTTATATGTATTAGGAGAAAGTCTAATTTCATAACTTAAGACGCCTGCTTTAAAAGCATTGATCTTGAATTCTAGTATGCGAAAATCCAATTGTTAGATCTAAATTTATTCACGGTGTTAGCTTTATTAACAGCTTTTGCATTTTATATATTTATTTTATTATGCTGTTTTTATTTCACATTTTTATATTTCATTTTATTAGTAATTTTCATTATGAACTAATTAACTACAATTTTTTAACATTTAAATACCGTAAACCGGGGCGATTCTACCCATCCAGGGGCGAGTCTACCCATTTTAGTTTTATTTAATTTTCACTATTTTAAATTGCAAATAAAAAAATTTTTACCGACGGAGGACTTAGTTCAGACTCTAAGGAAGATGGCGATGTAGTAGTTTGATCCGTTTTTATTTATTTGGTGTCTTTTTAACCGACCTGTTCAAACGTCTTTTGAGAGATTTGTATTGAAAATCAGCAAACTTTTAGTTGGTGCTCCGTAAGTATATTATTATTATTACTATTTTCACTTTGGTTAAGTGATAAACTTATCTAAGACTAAGATTACATTAATTTTATATGAAAAAAAAACAAAAAGAATGTAAGTTTTGGTGTTGTAAACAAAAAGCC